ACACTGAGCACATCTTTACTACATGTTTGTGCCACAACTCGTGAACCAGGGATGAGTGTGTGAGAGAGATCTGCTGAATGAGAAGGATGCTGGGAGCGGTGGAGAGAGGGAGAGAGAGAGAGAGACGGAGAGGAAGAAAGAGGGAGAGCAGCATCCGTGGGAAAAAAAGCTCAGCCTGGTAAATCAGATTACCCTGGTCACTGTGTGTCCTGGCCAGACTCAACAACCTAATACCCTACATTTCAAAACACAAAGAATGTAAACCCACACACACAAGAAGCTGCCATTTTCACAGAGGCAGAAACATGTGTGTCTTTGATTTCCATCTTTAATTCTGAGTTTTATTGACAGAATTAAGTTCAAGGTTGAGTCGTGAGCTTCAGCTGAGTCAGAACAGTGACGAGCATTTCTTCAATAATAATGTGTTTGTGAGGTGTGTGTGTGTGTGTGTGTGTGTGTGTGTGTGTGTGTGTGCCTCCACACAAACCGATCATATGCTGGGGAGGACATTTCATTAGCGTAAGCAGCTTTTGATTTCTGTTGCTCTGCTCAGCATTCAAACGAGCAGCCAAGCAGAGACTCGCAGCCCCTTTGGTTTGACTTTACAATCACTGCCGAGCGCCGTCACTACACAGCACCGTGCACATGTTAAACAGACCTGGACGGGTCAGACAGGGTGAAGAAGGTGGTGGGATGGTGTGGTCGTAGCTGAAATGACTTCAAATCAAGATTCCTGAGGAGCAAAATGATTTTACTGCACCAAATGTTAACAAGCAGAGTGTCTGTCGCCAGTGCTACAATGAAGGAAGTACTCGTCTATAAAATGTCAAACAGACATCTCATGGTTTACCACAGCACAAGCTAACAACTTCAACATAAACCTGAACTAGAATTCAGCTTACTTTTCATAACTGTATATTGCAGGATGAACCCGTTGAACTGTAATTGCTCTTGTGCCCACACAGTTACGAAGATTATTAACAATGATCAGAATGGCTGCAGAATCCTTTTCTGTTGATCTGTTAATTGTTTCAGTTCTGATAACAGCAGGCAACAACATATAGAAGCCTCTCCAGTCATTTCACGCTGCCAGACACAAATGCAGCCTAACTCCAGTTGTGCACGCCGGCATGATGTCGAGCAGGGGAGGGATCAACTAAACTCTTGCATGTGTGTGTGTGTGTGAGCTGTTGCAAAAGATTGAATCAGGTGCAGCACGTGTGCTAAGTCATGAAAACATCACTGGATTATTTGAAAGTATAGTTGATGTGTTTGTGTTATTTTTCCGACTCCACAGCGTTTGAAGGAACAGTAAACAAGCGTATGATTGTTCTCTTTGTTGCCACTGAGCGACCACGTATGTGATGAGGACGTCTGCAGCCGTTTCCTCACAGCAAACATACAAACTCACCATCCTACAGTCGACAGTAAATACCTCATCGAGTACTACCATACTCTCACCCTATGTTCTCTACAGAAACACACACAATCCGTCAATCACAGGTTGATTCTGAGGTTACATGAGTTTAGACATGTAAATCAAATCACTCAATGTAAACACTGAATGAATCTGTTGCCTCCTTCAGGCTCATTTCCTGATACGTCTGTCTCCAACGATGTCTCTCACATGCTTCCAAGCACCTGATATGTTGGCGTTGTTGTTAATATATCCACTAGAGGGCAGCGCAGAGTCAAGCTGCCAACAACAACAAAGATGGCGGTGGTGGAGGAGGTTGTGATAATGTTCCTCTTTAGAAAGAGGCAAAAGTGGCTGCACGTCCTCGGGCAAAGTAACGTGTAGACGACTGTAGTGTCTCCCCAACTTACGAAGTCTCTCCTCTAAAAGTTCAGCTGTGGAAATGTTGTCTTCATGTCCTCTGGTTGTCTCGGTTGAACTGTTGGCTACACTGCCTCCAACGGTTTCCAGTGCTGCCGCTCTGTCTTGGTTCGTCCGCATTTATAAGCTTTAAGAAGATAAATATGGACGAAATGATCGCAGAGGACAGAGGGACGGCTGCGTCCATATCTGAACACGGATCTCACGTGGTCAGGCAAACACTCAATTCAGCTGACACAGAAACTACAAGCTAAAAAAAAGAGCTGTAAGATGATCGTTTTTCACACGAAGCACAAAATATGAATTCACATTCTTTTCCAAGGAAAACAATCAAAGATCCTTAATGGATGATAATCATGTGCCATTACAGAACTAAAGAAAACTTACAACCTGTGAGAAGGGGAGACAGTTTGAAACTCATCTCTGTTTCCCTGATTTCTCCACATTATACTATGACAACTTCACTGGGAGTAAACGAGCTCTGTTTGAACTTGTCAGGAAATACTGTGTTGACATGTTTGACACTAACCTGGATTAAACCGTGAACTCGTGTGAAAACTACAGGACTGACTTCTTGATGTGAATGCTGGACTTCACTTCAACCACAACTTCTTCCTGGTTTCCCCAACAATGCAAACCTGTTGCAAACCACCATATAAAGCAGAATTAACCAGTAACGTGAAGCCACGGACCAGATGTGTCAGCGGAACAGGAGGAGGACAGTGTTCTGCTCCGGAGTCCCGATCAGAGGACTCGAACCTGCTGAGAACCACCAACCGGCTGTGACACATTGACGCCTCCAGGCCCGGAAACGGACGGTCCTCAGCCCCCGGGTCTCGTCCAGGTGTCCCGGGAGAGAGTGAGCCCAGCGTCAGGTTCAAATCACCATCCCTCACTCCGGAGAGGGTCGACCTGACCCGGGTAAACACGAGCCGTGGGGCCCCGCCGCCTCTCAGCTGTGGAGCCCCCCCCACACACACACACACACAGAAACACGACGGAGCCTTTTCCCACATTCACGCGGTTTGTTTTTTTTCCTCCACGCTGCGATTTCACTCTCGATCTGCTACGCAACAGCCAGCTAGCTCCCGTTAGCTCCCCTGGCTAAATTAGCCAGTTAGCTGGTTAGCTTGTGGCTCGCTGGGTGGACGAGCTCCGTGTCCGAACCGCGATCCGCATTTTTGGCTCGCGTCGATTATTCGCGTCGACACGAACGTGTTTGTGCTGGAGGTATCGGGCAGCCTCGCGGTGTTCTCGGGCCGGGCAGCAGGGACCCGCTGCCCGGGTAGCTGCTGTAAAATGGCAGCCTAGCTTCTCGGGCAGCTCAATAATGAGTCAGGAAAACAGTTCGCTAGCCGATTAGCATTAGCCAGTTAGCTCTGACCGCCGCCAGCCTGCGTTCGCCCCGCTGAGTACGCGTCCTCTTACCATTGTCCGGCCGCCTCTGTCACCGTGTAGCCGCCGCCTGAGTGTGTTCTCGGGCCCAGACGCTGGATCTCCCGCTGCCCGTCGCGTCTTTCCGTGTGTGTTCGCTGCCCGATGCTAACTGCGCCCGCTCCGCTCCGCACAAAGATCAGCTCAGCAGCCACCGAATCACGGCGCCTTCAGGGGCCGTGGGACAAACGCAGCTGGAAAAAACGGCAACATGCTCGTGAAGCGGAAAATAAGACGAGCGGGTTTGTTTTTTATTTCACTTTAGACACGAGCGTTAAAATCAAGAGGTTCCTACAGTTTGCGTGTTACACATCAGTGGTGAAGATGATATTGAGGACGGAGTCAAACTATTTGAGACTCGTCCATCAATACACATGAGAAAGCTGAGGGAGCAATACAAAAAGTAAAATATATATACAACACAACATAATACAAGTACATCTATTGAATTGTGTGTGTGCACACTTATAATCATTTTGTATATCTTACCTGCTCACTATCAGAATTATAATAACTTTATTTGTGTAGAACATTTCAGAACAGCCACCGTGTTTCTAAAATAAAAACAGGATTACAAATCATCTAAGAAAATGGTAAATATATCACATATGTGAGTCTATAAACGTGTATGTAATAATTTATGACATCGGTTATATGTAATGTACAAACACAGCCTCATGAACTCATCCTGTGTCACTGCACTTCATTCACATGTCTCTCGACACGCAGTATTCCGTGTGGAGTCAAAGGTTATGCAGTTTACATATTTACGAATTTACCTTATCTCATCTTATCTTATCTCATCTTATCTAATGTTATCTTATTTTATGTAATATCATGTTATCTTATGTTATCTCATTTTATCTCATTTTATGTGATCTCATGTTACCTCATGTTATCTTATGTTATCTTATGTTATCTCATGTTACCTCATCTTATCTTATGTTATCTTATTCTATTTAATCTCATGTTATTTTATCTCATGTAATCTCATGTTATCTCATGTTACCTCATGTTATCTTATGTTATTTTATTTTATGTAATCTTATGTTATCTTATGTTATCTCATGTTATTTAATCTCATGTAATCTCATGTTATCTCATGTTATCTCATTTTATCTTATGTTATCTCATGTTACCTCATGTTATCTTATGTTATCTCATGTTATCTTATGTTATCTCATTTTATCTTATGTTATCTCATGTTATTTAATCTCATGTTATATCATGTTATCTTATTTTATGTAATCTCATGTTATTTTATGTTATCTCATGTTAACTCATGTTATTTAATCTCATGTTATATCATGTTATCTTATTTTATCTTATTCTATTTAATCTCATGTAATCTCATGTTATTTTATGATACAATAGACCCAGCTCTGGAGTGATAATATAAAACTCACTGGCAAGGAAAACGTCGGAGCTTACCACGACCCCTTGAACGCAGCATCTGCGTCACAGAATGGCGTCTGTAAAAGAACTACAATCATGGCGGAACAAAACAATTACAGCTAACACGCATGCGCACTCAGGTGTTTCAGTCACCTAATATGACATCTTAATTATTCATGTCCGGGACAGAAGCACGAGACTGACGTCTGTCTCCATGTCCTTGAATCTGTGTGTGTGTGTGTGTGTGTTTTATCTTCATCATCATCATCATCATCATCAGTGTCCTGCACCAGAACCCGGGTCTCTTCCTGTGGAAGCAGCAGAACGACAGAGACAGAATCAGACATTTGTATTTATTTGTTTATTTTGCTGACCTACATCAACAGGAAGTCCACGTCCTTCCACCAAGATTCAAAGAACAGTCGTTTTTATTGTTTACAAACAAACAACAGATGGACAGGGGTGAAAGCGTGACGTCCATGAAATACATCACAACAATACATCACAACAAAGTTCTGCTTCAGTCGGTGTCTTTGGATTTTTATTTCTTTGTGTTTCGTCTCTTTTTCTTTTTTCCATTTTGTAAAATCAATCCCAGAAAAAAAAGTAGGTTTTTGTGAATAAGTGCATCGACATAACATGAAATAAAAATATACATATATCAGGAATAAAACATCTTTGTATAAAACATGTCAAAATGTTAAATATGATAGCGTCTTTTATGAAGTCAGATAAAACACACCAGCTTTGTTGGAGTAATTTGAATATTTTGAAAGACAGGTTTCATGTGGATTTCTGATCTGAGTTTAAAACTGTGGGCGACAGGAGACGCTCAGCTCGTCAGGACGGCTGTTTGCTCCATCTCCAGTTTCTTCATCTGAAATAAACATAGTATAATATTATAAGTGAACACAGATCACATTTGCTGCATGTCTCATGTCTTAGTTAGTAATTATGAAAAATAAACAGGAGGCCATGTTTGAGATCATCAGTTGATTTGATTGAGGTATTAGATCGTTTCACAAATCCTCCAAACTGTTCAGAGTTCTTCATGTTTTAAAGTTTGAACATTGGAGATAAACTCTGGTTGTTAATAACTGATCTCAGTTCAGCTTCACTCTTCCACTGGAGCTGATGGAGACTCTCAGTCACTTGTTCTCTCAGGAGATGAACCCGCTCAGCAGAGTGACAGAGAACAGACGCTCAGGGAGCGAAGGAGGAAACGTTCTCCACCTTCACACTCACACATCAGACTCACTTTGAATAGTGTTGCTGTCACATCTCGGCCTCCTTATTATTTTGTTCATGTTAAACACGTATGTAAAAGTGTGATCAGTCATCAGACCGGTTTCTGTTTCCCCTTGGCCTGCATCATTTCCTGCTGCTGCTTCAGTCGTACTTCCTCCAGACTCATGCAGCCGCCTGCAGATACACAACACACAGAGAAACATGTTCCAGTGTGTGTGTGTGTGTGTGTGTGTGTGTGTGTGTGTGTGTGTGTCTCTCACCAACACTGCTGGGGTTGATAGAAACATAAACCATCGCTCTGCTCAGACGAAGCTCCTCCAGGGCAGCCAGCTCCGCCTCCGCCTCTGCTCGACCAATCACACGTCAAACACCGATTAACCCACCGTGACACAAACCCACCTCGTGGATCCGTCCACACGGACTGAACAACACCAGCACTCACTTCTCTGCATGTCCCTCCTCCTCCTGGGGTCCGGGGGGATGACGGTGAACGCTCTGTGACTGAGACAGAAGAGAAGAGTCTTTGCTGTATGAACCTTTAGGACACCTTCACCCTCCGTGTTTTAAAGGTGCAGTGTGTAGAATTTAGTGACATCTAGTGGTGAAGTGTCATGTTGCAGCTGAACATCCCCCCCCTCCTTCCAAACATGAAGAAGAACCTGTGTCAGCTTCAGTCGTCATAAAAACTCAAAAGGTTTTAGTTTGTTCAGTCTGGACTAATGTAAAAAACATGGCGGCCTC